GGTGGGCATTCCCGTAGCTAGCAAGATCTGCCATTCCATGTGAAAGATTCAGAGAAACGCCACCACCCTCTTCAATCACTGGATGGAGCTCCGGTCATCATATGCAACAATTCCAGCCTCTTCCCTACGCAACCATCCACACCCAAACCTCACTCTTTCTGTCAAACAAAACCAGCTTCTTCTTCACTCTCAAGAATGCATGAAGTTCCGTTAGATCTATTCCTCCTCACGGAAACCGCATGTCCAGAAACTCCATTGACAAAATCAAGTCAGAGCAGAAACTTCTTCAACACATGAACTGGGATGGACTAGAAAAGGAACCCGGTCCTTTGACAGGCAAGAAGCAGCTTCTTGGACACACTCTGCTGGTCTACAGCAGAATGGAGGGTGCAGGAAAGTATTCCGGCAAGCAATGCAGGCCCGGCGTCGGCTAACTGGCGAAGGGACTAAGGAGAAGAGGAGACAGCATACAGAGAATGACAGTGTAAAAGTACAACCAGTCAAAGACGAGGACAGAGGAAAATATTAAAAAGACAATAAATAAAGATGGAAAAGCATAAACTAACCTGAGTCTGAGACATGAAGTCATAGATAGAAGGAAGAAGGAAAATATAGGGCCTGGTTGTTTTTTGTTTTTTTATTCTCAAAATAATTTTATAAAATTGTTTTTAAGAGCAAGTTTTAGAAAAAAAATAAAAAAAAATTGTTTGGAAAATAATTTTTAAAAATTCACATTTGAAAAGAATATAAAAAATTACACTTTGACAAGTAATAGTTATTACTGATAGCGATGAGTAGTAGGTAGTAGAGGAGAAGAAAAAAATATTTGTCCAATTTTTCAAAGAAAAAAATAAAAAACACAAAAATAAAAACAAGATAAGATGTAAAAGTTATTTTGATTTTTCAGTTTTTAAAAACAGATTATTGTTTTTTCCTTTTAAAATAATCAACTAAAAACAAATTGTTAAACAAGTTTTTTTGTCTTTTTTGTTTTTAAAAATAATCAACTATAGGGAGAATAATAAGGGTATAGTAGCTTTGGTTAAAGCATTAATAAATTAAAATACCATCACTTTCTAATCCTGGTCCTTATTTATTACCCAGCCAATTGTTTGTTCCCAGCTACGTCTTAGACTCTGAGCCACATCCCATCGCCCAATTTATGCTTTAATATATCTGAGTTTGATTTTCTCATCAAAGAATAATTTTGATATTAAATTATTTTTTCTTAAAACACCCCTATCTTTAACTCCATTGCTTCATCCACTGTTACTAATAATAGAGGTGGACGTTAACCCTACGGACTACCGTGTCAGTGTTTGTGTGTATCATTAACTATGGCTGCGTAAATATGCACACTTCATATCGCTCATCGTACCCCTCAAACTATTAGTACTCCCTCGAATTTTTAATATGAAAGTTAGACATGGTATTGAATTTAATCTCACATATATAAAATCTTAATTTATCTTATCTCATATATTTATAATTCTTTTCCAAACCAACTTACTTGATAACTTATAAAACGATACGTAAGATAATATGATGTAAGTTATCTTAAGATGATCACATCACATTTTTTTATAATATACTTAATTTAGTTAAATACTCCTTATCTTAAGAATCAAATGAATTATATTTTTCGTTAAATACATTTATATAATGCTCCTTTGGTTTTTGATATAGAATTTAATTAGAGAGTTGATATTTGATCTTATATGTAAGACCTATTTTACATATTTATTAATTTTTTAAAATTAACCATATTGATATTTTCTTCACAATAATCAAGTAAGAGAGAGAGGGAGGGTTTAAAAAAGACACTTAGGGTGTTTTAGAAAAAATATTATATTAACTAACTTGACTAACATATTTAATCTACTGAGAAAAGGAGTAATGATAAGAATAATATTTATAAGTTTGATATAGACATCAAACTATAATTCTTCCTACCAGCCAATAGCTTTTTCTTCACTCTAAACTTATTAAATTAAATAATACCTCAAGTCCCTTTCAAGCTTATCCAACCATTCATATCTTTTCGTTGGGAAATAGTTAGCTACGCTTTATTTTCAATGTTATCATTATCCTTATTGTCAAAATGAGGAAAGAAATTTAATCACAGGAAAATGAATATTGTAGATATTATAGGAGAAAATTGATTTTCCAAAAACTAAAAATAACTTTTAAATAATAATTTAAGTATTATTAATTTCTTATTCAATCTATGTCTTTCTTGATTAAATTAATCGACTTAACGATAGAAATAATGGTGAAAATATCTAAATAGATGAAAATATGAGGCCCAAAATGGGTAAATTAATCAATAAATATGCATTTTCGTCCAAAAAAATCCAGAAATGAAATTTAAAAAAGGGGTGTAATATGAAATAAAGAGGGTATTTCCACACAAAAAAAGTTATGAATATGAGTAAATAATAATGAAGGAAATTGTTGGGGGAAAAATAAGAAAAAATCACAAAAAAAGATCTTAATGATAAAAAAAATTATAAATAAGGACTCGTTATAATATTAATATTGGTTTTAACAACAATTGATAAACAAATGATAACAATTTTGTGAATGGGTACTTGTATATGATTCTCTCAAAAAATAATGAAGGAAATAATAATAATAATAATAATAATAATAATAATAATAGTAGTAGTTGTAGTAGTAGTAATAATAATGGGACGGAGAATTTGGTACGATATTTGAAGAGTGGGTGGCGAAAAAGTGAGCAAAATTATCGAGAAAAAGAGAAGTTTAGAATGGTGCAATCAGCTTGAAAAAAAAAACAAATGATGCAATATATTTTAAATATAAATTTTAATTGATTTTATTTTTTATATTTATTTATTTTTTTAAATTTTATATGTTAAATGATTTTCATTTTAATACACATATTAATAAAATATTTTTTAAAAAATAATATTTATTTATTAAAAATAACTAATTTAATTAGTTTTTTAATATTCATAAATTAGTTATTTAATTTTTATATTTTTATTAAAAATCAGAAGTACTATTTTAAATATTTATATAAGTGTAGGTGCTCGACTTCCAATTCTAAAACTCTGAAGGTTTGCTTTGCGGAGAAGAAGCCAAAACTGCATGGAGAACCACACAATCACAATCCTTTCCATGTTTGTGGGCTCCACCCGTTTCTTTTCCCACATAAAAGCATTGTGTGCGCGCATTGTTATTAAATTGTTGAGAACCAACCTTTTAATTCAATGACATCGTGTATCTTGAGACGCGGATTTTATACCTCAAAGTAGTAAAAAATGGAGTGTCTAGATCCCTCTTCTAATTTGGCCAAAAAAAAAAAAAAGATCCCTCTTCTAAGAAAATGTTTCAAATTGCGAATACCAAAAAACAATTATTGCTGAATTAATGTTATTTAATATTTTATGAATGGGCGTGAATAACAAAACTTGTCATAAATTTTGTTTTTTGATATATTGATGATGACCCTGTTATATTAGAATCAATGCTTATACCATAGGATTTGGGCCTACTAGGTGTGAATGCGGATTTGAGTAATTCCACTAAATCTCTTTGATTGTAGTATTAGTGTTAAACATTTTTTTAAAAAAAAATCAGCTATTTTTTTAGAACAAATGTTAAGAAAAATCAAACTACTTTTTAAAATTAATAATTGCTTTATGAAGTTATTTATACTTAAGAGTCGAACCTATGTATTTTTGGGGAATATTCTTAATGAACATGCATTAGAGCATCATCTCTAGAGTTGTGTTGACCTAGGAATCTAAGAAAAAAGTTTAATTATGTCACAAAAATATTTTTCTATTTCTATGACTTTGTATGGTGAAATTTCTATGGAAGATGAGGTTATCCTTGAATATAACTTTAAAAAATAACAAATAAAACAAGTGAAGAGAGAGAGAAAGCACAAGATCATTTATCCTGGTTCAGACCAATATGTCCTACGTCCAGTCCCCAAGCACAAAGCAAGGGATTTTTATCATGGGGGTAATTATTATAACATACAAAGCAGCCCAAACATTGACTCTGTTTACCTATGCCACTTTTTATTGTTGTTTTCTGTAAGCTTCCTAAAGCTAAAAATACAAGGCTCTCTAACATGTCTAGATCCCAAGTTTTACAACTTTTCTCTTCAATATTATGCGGTTTAAGCAGAGGAAGAGTATCTCAAATACAAAAGAGAACTCACGCAGAACAATCTGCACATCAAAACATAATAGCTTTGAAATATTTAACTTCATTGTTCTGGATATTCGTCCCTCAAAAAGTTTTAAAACTATTCGACAAGACCTTCCTTTGGATGCACCAATTTTTTCAGCGATCAAAGATATCAGTCTTCAATGCCTTGTCACAACTCAATCAAACCGATGTGTCAGTTCTACTTCATGAAATTATGGACCTCAGATTTTGTTCTTCAGCAGAATTATTTGATCAATAGCTCCACTTGGCCATATCAATACAAAGCCAATAGATAGATAATTCAAAAGGAATATCATTTCAAAACTTATAATGTTATGCTGGAGTTATATATATATCCACAATTACCATGCAACAAAAAATATTTAAAGGGCAATAAGCAAAACATAACCAGTTCGATAAAATGCTAATAGAGAACATTATTATAAGTACAATATATTCAAATCATAACATAAATTTGTGCAACAAACCATCATTACTTGGATCATAAGTACAGCCAATGCCAAACTGCAGGAGAAACAGATCCTGTAAAAAATAGAGTAGCATGTTAAGCATTCCCAAGTAATTCCATAGATAAGATTGATTTTTACTATCTTAGTTTTCCCATAAGTTAGTCAAAAGCTTGATACTTATACAACGTCCAAGTTTGATTTTTATTTGAACATCATTACCAAGTTAAAATGTTTGTCTATATTAACATGGACTCTCGTAATTTACCATCACATGGTTATCATAAGTAAGAGTTGAATGGGAGGAAGAATAGCAAGAGAAAAATATAAATCATTACCTTCCGGCTAGTCTCTGATGGTAAGGCATTTAACCACATAAATTGCAACCATGACATGGACTTTGTCTGTTACTGTGTTCATAAACCTACAGTAGGCTTGTCTCCAAGTTCGGTTGAAAAGCAACGGTCCTACAACGGCCCAAAATCCAACAACGAATCCCAATCCCATGCTCAAGTAAAATTCTTGAGAGATCAATGAGGCCCCTTCTTCTTCATCGTGATTGGCTTCTTGAGGTGGAGGCGTGTTATCTTCTGGGCACATCTTGTTGAGTGGCAATCCACAGAGATCAAGGTTTCCTCCATAAGATGAGGCATTAAAGCTCTGCAACTGTGTTCCTATTGGGATTTTTCCATAGAGACGATTGTTTGACAAATCTAACATACTGAGTCGATCAATATTAGCAAGGCTTGGAGGAATTGGGCCTGATAATTTATTGTTTGACAGATCGAGAAATTCTAGTGATTCTAGATTCCCAATATTTATAGGTATCTCTCCACTTAGCTGGTTTCTTGATAAGTTTAGGGAAACCAATCCTAACAAAGACATAAGTTCTCTTGGTACTTCTCCTGATAGAGCATTGCTAGAGAGATCAATGCTTTTAAGAAAGAGCTCCGGCCTCATATACTTGTAATCCTCACCTTTCCACATCAATGTTATATAGAATTCCAAACCACCAAGGTATTGATAAAACCCTGCTTTATTGGTCATATAATAATGATAACTTCCACTTGAGTTGATATGCTCTTGTGCCATAACAGTAAAATTTTCAAGGCATGATGGAACTTCATTGGACAAGTTATTGCGAGAGATATCTAAGAGTCGAATTTGTGTTAAGTGGCAAAGATGTACGGGTAGACTTCCATTTAAATGATTCATCCGTAAACTTAGAATTTGCAATTGTTCAAGGCTTATCCCAATCCATGAAGGTATTGGCCCTGACAACTTATTTTCTGACACATCCAATAATACTAACTTGGAGCAATTGGCCAAAGACAAAGGAAGTTCTCCAATCAAGCTATTGTTACTTAAAACCATAGCCTCCACATTCACAAGGCGTCCTATAGAGGATGGGATCTCTCCTGACAAATTATTAGTACTCATGTCAACAAATTTTAATGTGTCCAGTTGGTTCCAACACTCAGGTAGATGCCCTGTTAATTGATTGTTTGATAGGTCTAAAACGACAATGCCTCCATATTCAGTTTGGCCACATAGAAGTGGGATCAAATTTGAGAATTTATTTTTAGAAAGATGAAGTTCTGATGCTTGCCAAAGAAATGGTGGAAGTCCACCTTCAAAGTTGTTCGAATTCAAAATAATTTCTGGCCGATAATCAAACTTGAATGGTAAATTTGGGATTTTACCAGAAAAGTTGTTGAATGAGATATTCATGTATGCTATATTTTTCAATAGTGGCCAAAACCATTCTGGGATAGAACCAAAAAGCTTGCCATAAGAGATATCCAAATAGAATAATTGATGTTGATTACGAAGCCAGAGTGGAACATTAGGACCTATCATGCAAGAAGCCATAAACATAAATTGTAACTGAAAAGGGGGAATCCAACTGGCGCTAATGTTCAAGGTCAATGGATTGCCAGACAATGATAAGTGTGACAAATTAGAAAGATTTTTGAAATGAGATTCCGTGATTACACCACTAAAATTATTCGCACCCAACCGCAAACTTTCCAATTGAGACATCAATCCGATGCTTTCGGGTATTTTTCCTTCTAGTTGGTTATTAGTGAGATCCAAATCTTGTAACAAGGAAAAACTTGAAAGATTAGGTAAGATGCCTGTCAATCGATTTGTTGATAAATCCAAACTCTGTAATGAATGTCTATTGCACCATGATATATTAGAAATGAATCTCGGAAGGTCCCCACTAAAGTTATTGTAGGCAAGGCTTAGGCTCTTCAATGTGCATATATTCCCTAGTGGTGTTGGCACTTCACCTTGGAGATTATTAGATGAGAGATCAAGAACTTCAAGAGACTTTATTACGTTTCCAAAACCATCGGGAATGGAACGGCCAAGTGAGTTTCCCCTGAGGTCCAGTTCATGAGGATTGAAGGTGAAGTTGGAAATCCAATAGAATATGGTTGATGATGTCAACAGATTGTCAGAGAGATCAAGATGGATAAGAGAGGAAAGGTTGGGATTGAAGGATGTGAAGATAAGATTATTTGATGTAAGGCTACAATTGCTCAAATAAAGCTCTTGAAGGTTGAAGCCAAAGCTCAATGCCGTTACTGACATCAAGTTATTATAAGAGAGATCAAGAACAATGAGGGAAGGAAAATGAAAATGAGAAGATAGAAAGTAAAGATTATGAGATGAAAGACTGCAATTACTCAGATAAAGCTGTTGAAGGTTGGAGCTAAAGTTGAAGGACCATTGAAATAATGATGAGTTCAAGTTATTATCAGAGAGATCAAGGGTGACAAGAGAATAAGAATAGTTGGAAGGAGAAGCAAACAGAAGAAGGTTGTGCACATGAGAAATGCCACAATCTCTCAACCTCAATTCTATTAGTTTCGGCATAAGTTTACCAATCATGTGCTGCCACACCTGAGAATTGCCAACATCACTCACATAACTCAACTCAAGATTTGTTAATAAAGAGAGCTTTGATATCCACTCTGCATCACCATTGTTTTTGTCGGCTATTGTGAGGTTAGACAAATAACCACCAACTCGCAAGGTGTGCAATATGGAGAGATTCCCAATTTGATAAGGAATCACTCCAACAAGATTATTTCCTCCAAGATGAAGGGACTGCAACTTGGAAAGATTTCCGATTTGGCAAGGGATAGCTCCATCCAAGTAATTGTTACTCATATCAATATATTGTAAGTTTGGAAGCTTTCCCAGTTGATTAGGAATACTCCCAACAAAATCAGAATAAGATAGGTTGAGATACCTTAAGTTGGTGAATGACCCTACAGATTGAGGGATGTCACTTGGGTAGAAAGAATTGTAACTGAGATCCAAATGTTGCAGATCATGCAACTTACTTAACAAAGTAATATTAATTGTACCTCTCAAATAGGATGGATCGGAACCACGAAGGTTAAGAACTTGAACGTGACCTGTTTGGTTGCTGCAATGAACTCCTTTCCAGTGGCAACAATCTTCATCATCTTCTCCCCTCCATGTGGATAGCATGCCATAGTCAACATAGATGCCTTGTTTGAACAACAGAAGAGCTTTCCTCTCCTTGTCGATGCACTTCTTCAATGCTTCACCATCAGTGGCCAAACTGAATCTTGTATGCAGTAGCAACAGCAATGTTAATAATGCATAAAAAAAATTGAACACACAACCCATCACAGCGACGAAATAGCTTCAACACAAGTTCAAAAGTGAAACAACTGGAGCGGATTAAAACACACGGTTCTGGGATAACTGTGGTTTCTTTTTGTTTATTTTTTTCAGCTGGTGAGATGTTGTGAGGCGTAAAATGCGGATGGTACATAGAACTTTTATAGAGTTCATTGTGGGGCTGTACTTTCATGGATCATTGGTACACTTTCTAATGAAGAGAAGTCAGAGTAGATGTGGAGAGAACACGTTATTTCAACAACCTCTTTTTTTTTTTTTGAAAAAAAGATAAAAATTCAAAAATAAATGCACAATGTTTTCGGAGTCCATAATATCGAGCATTTTTGTTGGTGTCGGATAGTGTGCTCTTGTAAGATTTTATTTTGCTTGGACAAAAAAAGCTCTGTTTTCGAACAAAACATTCTCACACACCAAACACTCGCAATTGAAAGGTCGAATTCATCATTTAATATAGTAGCCCCAAAAAAAACTCATTTAATTTATTGATGGCATTTCAAAACTGTGTAAATATGATCTTAAATCTAAACATTTTAAAAGATGATAAATTACTAAAAAATTTCCTTCCTATTTTTAGCACCCATTTTGCGGTTTTCACACACACACACGCACACACACATACACACACATAAACAGTCTCTTGTCGCGCATAACCGCAATCGTTCTATCAAATCGCAAGTCCTAATTACAGCTAATAATATTGTGGTTATTTCTAATATTAGATAATTTAAATTAGATGCGTCTCAATATTAATTCTTAGCGCAGTAAGTTAGATGATTCCATTTTTTTTATTTTAAATCTTTATCTTATTGTAACCATGCTCTTGTGACGGCTAAATTTTTATTTTCAACATAAGATTTATGGTTGTTATATTATAAGATTATGAGTCAATTAAAGTCTTCCTCCTTTTGCCCCCACCATGTAGAAATCTCCCTCAAATGAAAAAAAGGCAAAGTATATTCCCTCAATGATTTTCCAAGAAGCTTCACGGTCATCTTAGATTATATTAGACTAAAATAAGTGATCACGAAGCTGCAATGATCTTACTTTTACGTAGGATATATATATATTGTACATTAAAGTCTCACTTTAAATAAATCATAATTTATGAAAATTATGTTTATTTGTAAATTTGGTGTGAAAACAAAAGGACATTAAAATATTGAGAATAAAGTAGAATAAAATTTAAATCATTCAACTTTAATTTTAAATGAATAATTAAAATATATATGCTCTTATATTATATCCAAATTCCCTTGTAACTGGGGATATTGCGAGCTGAACTGTGTTCGATATGCAAACCATAGATAAATAATCATGATTGTCTATCCGCTACACAGCTTAATAGACGGTTGGGAAAGATTTAGCTACGTCTAGAATTAACGACATGTACAATCTACGAGAAGAAATATTTAGATATAAATATTTTTGTTTGGCCGGTTTGAGATAAATAATTTGATTTCAAAACCTTCAATCACTTACATAATTACATACACATCCTTAAAAATACTATCTATAAGTTAAGTCACATAATTTGATATTTTATAAAATGCTATATGATTACTAACTCCGGTCATAATTATAAGATTTTATTTGTAGTTTACAAACATGGTTTTATAATTAAGACCGAAGGTAGTATTAATCATAACATAATTAGATAATTACCAGAAAAAATAACATAACTAGATATAGGCTTTTATATACAGAGAGTTTCGAAAATAACATAACTAGCTAATAACTTGTATACTTTTCCGACGAAGAAAAGTCATCAGAGGATATTATTTCAACAAAAATAAACAAAAATAAATGACAATGTTTTCTCGGAGTTCATAATATTGAGAATTTTGTATTATCTTGCTTCGACAAAAATATTGTCTTTTGTAACCAAACATTTTATCACACAGACACATACAAACAGATATAATATGAGGATTTTTGTTATTCATGCTGATCTTTATTTCCAATTAAAAGTTGAAATTCATCGTTTAATTCAGAAGCCAAAAAAAATTCATCTCTTAATTTATCGGCGGCATTTCAAAACGGTGAAAATATGATCTTAAATCTAATTAATTTAAAAGAAGAAATACCATTTTGCCACTTTCATAGCCTACAATATTAGTTTACTTACCCCTTGTTTGGATAGAAAGAAAATTAGAGAGGAGAGAAAAACAAGAGAAGAAAACATGAGGAGAAACAAGTTTTCTCTTACTTTGATAGGAGAGAAAATATAGGAGGAAGGAAAAGTGGGAGAGGCCTACCTTATTTTCTCACCAAATTTTTTCTTCATACATGGAGAGATTTGAGAAGGAAAATAAGATTTCCAAGACTACACTTCTTCTATTTTTCTGTCCATATTTATTTTCTTTTATTCTATTTAAAAAGTTCTTCGCTTTTTATTTTTTTATCCTAAAACCATATTTTTATTAAATAATTTGGTTTTAAAATATCATAATATGAAAATATATATCAACCAAATAATTTGATTTTAATTATTTGATTATGCTAATGGTAGTATAATTTTTCTATTGCAATATTTAATTTAATTTAATTTTAAATATGATATATTTTAATAAGGACGTTTTAGTCATTTAGATATTTATTAATTTTCTTTTCTTTATATTTTCTCTCATTTATCCAAGTAAAAAGGATGATAACATCTTCCCTCTAGTTTTTCTTTCTCTCTATTTTCTCTCCTCCCATTTTTTTCCGCCCAACTTTTCTTCTCATCTAAATAGAGTATTAAATTGGATGTGTTCTTAATATTCTCAGCGAGTGGGATGACTTCATTTTTTTATTATTTTTAAATCCTTATTTCATCGTATCCGTGCTTATGTGACGGCAAATCTTTTATTTTCAATTGGCAAAAAAATAATTTTTTATTTTCAAAATATGTCCTTAGTTTTATTAAAAAATTATGCGACTATAATTTCAAAATAGGCTGAAAGTACTATTTTATAAATTTAAATTATATTTGGCCAAAATACATTTTTCTATGGATAAGAAGTATTTTCTGCCAATAACAAAAATTAATTATCCTTAAAAGACTTCTACAACTTCATATATAATGGTTGAGAATCGAATTCCGAACTGCATGCTTAAGACACAGAAGTGATTGCCACTCATGTTGAGTTATCCAAAATTTATCTTACGGACCAACCTGTATTTTCTCACATAATTAAACTTGCCCTTTCAAGAGAATAGAATAATGTATTTTATACAATTTTTCTAGGAATTCAAAAGATCAATGTTTCCCAGAGTATCAAATTTTTACATAAACTTTGAAAACTAATTTTAAAAATTAAAACATTTTTCTAATTTTTTATGTTATGTTACTTAAAAAAAAAAAACTTTTAGCTGCATTTCGCTTCTCCGCTTCAATAAATAATATGAATGCTAGTTCATAAAAATCAAACTTTAAAGTTGGATCTTGATTTTCTTAAGACCATAGTTTTATTTCATGGCCTTTTAATCTGTTCTTTCAAGAACTCATATGACCCATGCTATGCGCAGAAATTGAAGTAGAACTATTAAAATATCTTTTCATTATTTTAATGTATTTTTAGGCCATTCTCTCCTCATAGCTTCACGGATTATGTTGATTTACATAGATTATAAAAAGAAAAGGATATTTGGACTATTAATTATGCACCAAACTTCTCGTTTAACTATTGTATCTTAGTTGCTGGTAAAAAAAAAAAAAAACTACTGTATCTTAGTTATTTTGAAGGAAACATCATTTTAATTTTTTTTTTATTTTCAACTTGTAAATTAAAATTTCATTTTAAATTGATGGTTTCTTGTCAATCACACCCGTCCTCTTTGGCGAAAATAAAAATCATACTTGGACTTTTCTCAGCTATGACTTTCACTCTATTCAGAAAACTTGTAGGAAAAAATGGCAAAGAAAAGTATAGTCTGATTCCTCAAAATGAATAGCCAAATCTCCATGGTGAACATCAACAACGAACCCCCATTTTCACTCTAATTTAATTTCCACATGTCAGACAAAAGTATCCGTCCCAGGCTTCAGGATTAATCATAATCTATGCTCTAATTTCAAATTGATGCAGTTCATGGAAAGCTCCATTCAACTACTATAAGAAAATATTTATGGAGAATAAAAAATTTTCCATGAGACCTTGATGCAAGAAAAGAAATTAACAAAATGGATTCAAGAAAAATGAAACAAATCATTGGAAAAAAAAAAATAGTTCTTGTCAACAAGAAATTAAATACCTTTGTCGGTTTCATGAGGGAGACCCTTGAAGAGTTTACCGAAGAAAATTCGAGCAAAGAAAAAGTATCACAGAAAGGGATTGATAACAACTCGCTAACTATTTCCTAGCAATTTCTTGGGATGTTTAAATTAAACGAACTTATTTTCAAGTATCAAAACCACTCCCATCAATATAAAATATAAATTTTATAACAAGTTTATATTTACAGTATCTTTATGTCTCACTCTGAATTAATTGCACGTGGATGGACCAGAAATATTGATATATGCATATTTCGAGTTGTAACCGAGTGTCAACACTCGAGCTTGTTGTTTAACTTACAATGATATATTAAAGTTTTAAATATTTGTCTATAACAATTAAAATAAATTAATGGGGGGAGAAACAGATTGGGTGGGTGGAGAAAACAAAGGTGGCTGCCATTACTCTGCAAATTTTCCACAAGAGCTTTGATCCTTTTAGTTTCAAAGGGGAGACTTTGACTTTTGTTGCCAAGAGAAAATGAATGGGGAGAATTTATTTGAACATAAGCCTCATGGTTATTATATTATAGAGTTACGAGTGAACTAAAGCCTTTCTCGTTTTGATCCCACAATGTCCAGATCTCCCTCAACAAGGCAAAATATATTCCGGTCCATAGGTCAAGCTTTTATACTACCTACGATCCTTAATATAAGAAATAATTAAATAATTAATTTAAGTAAATTAAAAAAACTAATTAATTTAGTTATTTGTGATAAATAGATGCTT